CAACAACTACTAAGGTTAATTCCCAACATGTGTATATGTTTTTGGCTGGTCTTGACCCTCAATTAGATTGGGTTTGAGGTTGGGTGCTTGCTACCAAACCACTTCCAGATTTACAAGTTGTTTATGCTATGGTTTTTATGGAAGCTAATCGCCAAGATGCTATGCTTGGAGGAAAAATTGGAGAAGGGGTTGTAATGGCCTCTCGGAAAATGCCTACCTCAAAGAAGCATCAGAAGTGTATTCATTAAATGGTATTAGTCATACGGTAGATACATGTTTTCAAATCCATGGATATTCGGATTGACATCCAAAGGGCAAGGAAGTGTCTCAGATGTCTTCTAGTGATAATGAGGAAGACTTTAATCTGAAAGGGGAATCTAGCCACAACTCCTGGATTTACTGCTAAGTGAGGTATGTCTTTTACTAGAAATCGTGATTGGATAATTGACTTTGGTGCAACAGACCATATGACTTGTGATTGTTATAGGTTTAGTTACTTATCCCCTAAATGTTCCAAAACTACCATTACCAATGCCAATGGCGTATAATCTTCAGCTATTGGAGTTGGTACAGTCCCGTTATCCCCCACTTTAGCTATCAAATATGTCTTATTTGTGCCATCATTAAATTGTAATATTCTCTCTGTTAATCAATTAACCAAATCTCATTATTATATTGCTTTATTTTTTCCTACTCACTATGTTTTTCAAGACATCCATACCAAGGAGAAGATTAGCAGTGGTAGACAAAATGGAGGATTGTACTATCTGGAGGATAGGTTCCAACATTCCAACAGAGAAGGACAAACTCACTTGCTAAAGGAAGATTTGATGAATAAGAAAAAGGAAGAAATTTGGTTGTGGCATAAGAGACTAGGACATCCCTCTTTTAGCTATCTTAGGAGATTATTTCCCTCTTTGTTTAGTAGATATCATTTTTTGGATTTTAGTTGTGAAACTTGTGTAATGGCAAAAAGTCATCATACCATTTTCCATTTAAGTGATAATAGAGCAAATCTACCTTTTTCATTAATTCATTCGGATGTTTGGGGATCGATACCAATTTTAACTCTTAATGAGATGAGGTGGTTTGTAACTTTTGTTGATGATTGCACTCGAATGACTTGGGTTTATCAATTGAAGCATAAAAGTGATGTCTGCTCGGTTTTTTGCTTGTTTCATCAAATGGTAACTACTCAGTTTGGTATTCCAGTAAAAGTTCTTTGTTCTGATAATGGGGGAGAATACTTCAAACAAGAATTGACGGAATTCATGCACTTAGTAGGGATTATTCACCAAAAAACATGTCCTTATTCTCCTTAACAAAATGGTGTTGCAGAGTAGAAAAACAAACAGTTATTGGAAGTTACTCGGTCTCTCTTGATTAGAGGTCATGCCCCTTCTCACTTTTGGAGTGACGCCTTGAATTCAGCAGTCTACTTAATAAACTGTACACCTTCTAGTGTTCTCAATTTTAGAAGACCAGTGGATGCTCTCTCTGATTATTGCACTCTTCCATTAGTGGTACTTTTGGCTCCTCAAATTTTTGGACATGTGGTCTATGTCCACTTGCATCCACATCAACGGACTAAGCTTGAGTCTCGTGTAGTGAAGTGTGTTTTTGTGGGATATGGGATCAATCAAAAGGGCTACAGGTGTTATGATCCATCTTCTCGGAGATTTTATGTTTCCATGAATGTTATTTTTCATGAGAAAGAATTTTTCTACAAGACACCGACGCATGATTTACCACTTTAGGGGGATAATAAAGATGAAGTGATTAAACATGAAGAACTACATGTGTTTTTTCCCAAAGATTTAGATGAAGGAAATAGAACATCTGAAGATGCTACGGAAAATAATTCTTTGTATTGGATCTTTCCTGAACAACCAAATGAACTGAAAGAAGAAAACCATGTGATCGAGGAATTTATGGATGAAAACTCTGTCTTGGATTTGTTCCAGACAACTGGAAGTGATACCATCGATCGACCTAATGAAGGGGAAAGGTTCCAAATTGTTGAACAAACGGTTCTAAGCTCTGAAGATGATTCTCTCCATGATAGTACAATAGTACAATGTCTCCTAACAATCCAACACAACCATTGGGTCAATCTTCTCCTGAGGCTCATTCAAAGGTACCTACTAATCCTAATTCTATGATTGTTGATGATGTTAATTTTGAATCTTAATTGTCTCAATATCTTCTTCTAGCTTGTTCTAAATGTGGTATACCACCCATTAAATATGACCCTGATCCTAAATCCAAAGTTAGATATCCTATTAGTGATCACATATCTTCGAAAAAATTATCCAAGTCATATGCATCTTATGTGCTATAGTTATTGTCTATCTCTATTCCTAGTAAAATGTAGGAAGCTTTAGTAGATGCTAGATGGACCCAAGCCATGGCTGAAGAAATGGTAGCACTTGAAAAGAATGCTACTTGGGAACTTGTGCCTTTACCGAAGGGAAAGAAGACCATGGGGTGTAAATGGGTTGCGTATACCCTTTTGCAACCAACCAAGCTTTGTACCTTTCAATGGTCTCATTCGCCTTATGGGATTGACTATCAAAACACTTTTGCACCAGTTTCCAAGCTTAACATAATTAGAGTGCTCTTGTTGTTTGCAGTTTACTGGGCTTGGCCACTTCTTCAATTTGATGTAAAAAATGCTTTCTTGCATGGGGATCTTATAGAAGAAGTGTATATGGATCTTCCTCCGGGTATGTAAGAAAGGTGTGCAAACTCAATAAGGCATTGTATGGTTTAAAACAATCTCTAAAGCTTGGTTCGGTAGATTCACCAAGTCTATGAAGAACTTTGGCTATAAACAAAGCAACTCAGATCACACTTTGTTTTTAAAGCATTGAAAGGGTAGAATTACTGCTTTGATTATCTATGTTGATGATATGGTGGTGACATGTGATGATCAAGATGAAATTGAGAACTTACAATGACACTTGGCCTCATAATTTGAAATGAAATAGCTTGGTGACTTGAAGTACTTTCTTGGGATTGAGGTAGCCAGATCAAAAAATGGTATTTTCTTATCTCAGTGAAAATACATTCTTGATTTGTTAACTGAAATAGGTATACTTGGATGTAAGCCTGCGAATACTCCTATTTAACAAAACCATAAGTTGTTTCATTGTTTGGATAAAACTACTACTGATAAGGCAAGATACCAAAGACTTGTGGGAAAATTGATTTATTTGTCTCACACTAGGCCAGATATTACTTATTCAATATGTGCAGTGATCCAGTTTATGCATGATCCTCGTAAACCTCACATGGATGCCGTGGAACGTATATTGAGGTATTTGAAGTCTGCTCCAAGTAAAGGGTTACTTTTCACTAAGCACAATCATCTGAAGGTAGAAGGATACACTGATGCAGATTGGGTTGGCTCAGCTGATAATAGAAGATCTTTACTTTTGTAGGGGGAAACCTTGTGACTTGGAGGAGTAAAAAGCAATCGATAGTTGCAAGGTCAAATGCTGAAGCTGAGTATAGGGGCATGGCTTTGGAGTGTGTGAGCTACTATGGTTGAGGAACTTGCTAAGAGATTTGGGAGTTGACTCTCAGGATGCAGTGAAGTTTTATTGTGATAACACTTCAACTATAGAGATTGCCCACAATCCAGTTCAACACGATCGGACAAAGCATGTAGAAATTGATAGACACTTAATTAAGGGAAAACTGGAAGCTAGGATCATTATATTTCCTTTTGTGAGGTCTAAATACCAACTAGCCGACATTCTTACCAAAGCTGTAGCCAACAATGCATTTGATGACGCTTTAGAAAAATTAGGCATGTGTGATATCCATGCTCCAACTTGAGGGGAGTGTTAGAATATCCTATAATTAAGAGATTGATATGGTCAATATTCTTAATTATAGGATATTAATTCTTTCATAATTATAAGATATCCTATAATTAAGAGATTGATATGGTCAATATTCTTAATTATAGGATATTATTTCTTTCATAATTACAGAATATTTTATGTAATATTTTGTAATTAATTCTTTTATTCTTTCCTTGTAAATGTTCTTGTATCTATCCTATATATTGTAGAATTACAATGAATGAAATTATCAAAAAATTATTTCACAATTGTGTTTATTGACCCAAAGGTCACTCCTAAGATTAAGATTTCATTTAACAACAATTATAGAATATATTATTCTTCCTTCCTAATTCTGGTTTTAAATATGATCTTCTATATTTATACGTAAAATTTTGAAAGCTAATAAATAAATTGCATAATTCTACATTTAAGAAACTTTTATATGAACTTTTGTAAACATGTTATATGTCATAATTCTTTTATTCTAAAATAATTCATCTTTATTAATAAGTTTGAATTTATTTTTTTGCCTTTATGTTGACAAAAAAGATTAATTACTTCTTTTTTATCAAATATAAAAGCCATATTTTAGACCTAATATTGTCTTGAGCCAGCTCTACATAAGAATCAGAGATTGATTCAGAACTAAAAATTGAAAAAAAGTAGAAGAGAAATGTAATACTGTTATTTTATATATTTTGTAAAATTTCTTTTTTCTTGATTGCCTATCTCTATTCCTCTTCTTCTTCTTCTTCTTCTACTACTACTACTTTTTATTATTATTTTTTACTCTTATAGAGTTATAATGAATTTTGTAACATCATCTAGATGACATGGACCTTATGATGTTGTATAAAAAGCAGAAAAAGGAAAAAAACATATACAAATAACCACTATTGAGTAGTCTGATGATAAAAGAGCAAAAGGAGTTCTACGAGTTCTTGAATTTGAGTCTTCCCAAACATTAATTGGGGCGTTAACTGGGGCTCTTATCAGTTTTAGGGTCTTGGGGAGTAGATGAGGTGTGCACACGCTGACTCGGATGCCTCCGGTGATAAAAAAAAAAAAAATTGGCTTGGACACCTCCGGGGATCAAAAGAAAAAAAAAAAAAAATACATATATAAATTCTCCTCTGCCTGGTTGATTTATACTGCAGAGTGAAACTCCTTAGACGTCTTCCACTTGTGAAGAACATCGCCATAAACATTATAGAACATAATTTGAGCTTCTGCCTGAGTCAACTCGACAGACATGAAACCTTGACCATCATAGAAGAATTTCATACCATCATGGTAATGCTCATGTTTAGTGTCACCCCTCCAAGCCTTTGAGCCTCCTCCACTCGTTAAATATTGAATTGGACTGCAAAAAAATATTGGATTTTTAGCAATACAAATTAATGAATTTTTTTTAACATAATTATTAGTGTTATGAGACGTGAGATGATTATATTGAACTTCACCTATCAAGGCTGGAAATGTGTTCCAAGCAATGGTCATGTCCATTCATGTAAAAATCCACATTGTTGGCCTGAATATTCACAATATTGCGAGAACAAAAGAAAATTAAATACAAATACAAATTCATTTTTTTTTTTTTTGAGTTGTGACAAATTGCTAATCACCTTGAGTATTGGGAGCAGAAGCTGAATGAGCTCTTCAGTCTCGCCGTGAAATCCAGCACTTCTAATTGCATGGTGACCAACAACCATTTTCCAATTTGCACTTGAATCTCTTAGTCCCGATTCCAGGGCCTTGTGATGGTTAAAATTCTCGTTAAATTCAATTTGAATCAAGATGAAGGCAATAGAAATTAAACTAATTAATTTTTTTTATAGGTTAAATGATTATAAGATTACCTCTAGGGTTTCGGCAATGTATTTTCTTCGAGGTAACAGCCCTTGCCAATTGTAATTGTGCTCATCGTCTGCGAAGTACTTCTCCACAAATGGAGTGGTGTCGACAAAGAAAATATCCGCCATTTCTACCACAATTATGCAGAAAATAGTTTAATGGAAAAGTATATTTATAATGAAGAACTTATTAATTTTAATGAAGATATGTTATACCTGTATTAACGAGGAAAGATCGTCGACAAAGCCATCGACCATCAATCATCGAAAGGATGGGGCTTAATTGTGCCTCAACATCACCCCTATAGTCGTGATTTCCCAAAACTGAAAAAAGGAAAATGGTTGATTTCAGTCTTGAGACAAAATTTATGAATTAAGAGACTTATTGTTAAATTGCAACCCCACCTATAAGGTGATGACTCAACATCATATTAGTCCAATACTTACTAGAATACCATTGCTTTTGCAAACCCTTAGCGGTGTAAATTTTTGTGAAGGAATCTTCAAATGCTGGATCGTCTACGCCTTCTAATCCATTATCATAAAAGTTATCTCCAGTTGAGACGACAAAGTCTATGTTTAGTTTCTCTGCAACCTTTCCCATCTGCTATGCATAGTCTCGTTAACCATCAATCAAGAAGCATACATAACTATTAATACAAATATTACGCCCACATGAACTATTGGATATAATTTTCAGTCAACTATTGAACAAGATTTAATAGTTTACATGTGGGATAACTTTCATAGACAGACCGACCTATTAATGAGCGGGGTTTCGTGATCCTACTTATATTTTTTAAAATAAATTTGCTTTGGTGTTTTGTTTTGACCCACCTGTATTTATATTAATGTATTTATATGACCCAATTCATTTACTTTTTTCTTATATAATATTATATTATTTTGAATTTATCCCTTTAATTTAATTATTGGGCCATCCTTGATAACTTTACTTTTGTTGGGTTGTCGACTACTTCAATAATAAGGGTCGCAAAGACGCATTCGGGAGTCCAACTATAAGATTTCTCTAAATAATTAATTCCCCATTGGGTTTGAACTTAGAAAAAAAAGATTTCTGTAATACTAGGTTTTACTTTTTAAACTTAGTATATAAATTTATTTTTCTCTAGTACGAGTGTGATAAAAAATTATAAGGAAAATTACAATCATTATAACAAGAGAGGTGAGACAGTATTTCAATAATATTGACTCTACTGGATATAGTTTATTAATTAGGTGAATCAAGGTAAATCGCCAGTATTTTTCTTTCCTTTTACTGGTATGTGTTTACTGTTCTCGATTTTATATTACTTTCAATTGTTTCAACTTATGCTGTTTTAGATCTGCCTTACAAAAATAATATATGAAAGATGAGATATACTGGAATAATTACTGAAACTAGGTAATTAAAATAGCTTTATTTCATGTTTGTTTGTTTGCAAAATGGTTGAAGAAAATGCCTCATTAAATAAGGAAGCTAATTAAAATCCAGTACTTTCTTCATTATCCGTTAGTTTTTATTTTAAAAAAGTAAAACTGTTTTATTTCTTTTCACCTTTTATAGAATATCTGCTAATTAAAATGATGTTAAATATTGAACTTTCGTTAAAAAAGAAAAGAATCTAAGACTTTGTGTCTAAAAAATTGTATTCCTTTCAAACCTTTTTTTTTTTTTTGCAATAAAAATTTTTTAATGTAGAAGTAAGACTGAAACATACAATGAAGAGGAATAAGAACATTTTAGAAATCAAAATAAGATACTATAAGTTGGAATAAATATTAATACCAGGAGAAAGAGAGGCTTCTAACCTGATATGCGACTAGGGTTTGGTTGTAAAAACCCCTTCTGCCCCAATCTCCAATCACCAAAAAGCTCAGTGATCCATCACCTTTTGTCAAGTGTTCAAACCTTGGAGGCTCTGCAAAACTGTGCACAAAACATATGCAAGCTAGAACTAGCAGATTTAGGCTCGTAGTTCTTGTTCTGTAATTAAAAAAAGGCATGACAAACAATGGGTAATTTGTACAGATAATAGAGGAAAGTTATAATCGATCGTAAGTTTATAAAAAGGGAATGACAGAGAGGATCGCACAGATAAAATCTAAACTTTTCTTATGTAATTGATAAGGCGAAATTTATAGCACTCTTAAGGCTACTATTGTTGACTTTTATTAGCCAATTTATGTCTAAGTTATTTGTGTATTTTACAAAGAACTTATAATTGGCAGACCATGTTTCAAGGTTCTTACTATATATTTTAAGGTGTCAAATGAGTGTTGGCCCTTGCCTCAAAAGTCGTAATAATTGTATGCCTCCAGTATATTTTTATTTTGTCCATTCTTTTTTGTATTTAAAATTCCATCGTTAGAAGCTTGTATATAAATATCTTGTATATTTTATAGCAAATGACTTCAGAGGTTGTTGAATATGTGAATTATGCAGAAATCTTGAACGAATTTAGAGAGGAAATGGTTTGTGTTTCAATTGGTTGAAATTTCGATACAAATGAGGAAGAGCTACTGCTCTTTTATACTAACACTGTTACAGAGTAAAGTGAGCTGAATCCTTTACTTAAGACGACATCACTTTGACCTATTATCAAAAGCATCCAAATACTTAACGACTTTGCACTTTCACCCTTTTATATCAACATCTCCTCTCAAGCCAAACCTGTTTAAGTACCTAACATCTGTGAACTTGCACTACTTTTCTTATCTCAATATCTCCTCTCAAACGAAACCTGGTTGAGGGTCTTCACTACCAGTTTCGGTCATCAAAAAAATATNCTTTTATAATTATTTTGTTAGTTATTTTATTTATTTAATTAAATTTTGTTTTAGTTTTTGGTTCATTGATTTGGAAGTCAGTGCCATGTCAACAACACATGTGAAGAGCATGCGGAGTCAACTGGAGTTAGTTGGAGATTCCACAAGTCAAGCTGAAATTCAGTTACTTTCTCTTTGTATAAAAACATAATGCAAAGCATTAATTCAGTAAATGTTACATCTCTTTCTTCAGTTTCTCCAATCAAACTCGAGAAAAACAATTTTGTGATGTGGAAATTACAAGTGCTACCTTCAATTAGGTCACATGATTTAGAAGGTTTCGTTACTAGAGCTTAGAAGCACTAGTTATGTGGATCATAAATCAGGATGATTTCAAAGTACTAAGAAGGGACAAATGAGTGTAACAAACTATTTTGCCAAAATAAAACACATAGCAAATAATCAAATTTATCAAAATAACATTTTGGTTTGCAAGTACTTGCTAGTTTAGGTCTAGAGTACGATTAAGTTGTTAATCAGATTGCTAGAGTTAGTACAATTGATGTCTAGGAGATGTATGCATATTGCTCACACATGAAAGTCGATTAGAGCGATGAGTTGAATGCAAATGTTAATTTTTCCCAAACTTGTCAAAATGCAAAGAAAAACAATTATAGCAACAAAAATTATCAATTTCAAAATGTGACAGGAAAAGGTAGAGCTCGAAGCAGATCTATCAAAGGTGGTTCAAATTCTTTCTAAGACTTTGCAAATGTAAATTTGATGATTTCAATTAAAGTTTTATGTTATTAATTTTGTGTATACATATTATTCGAATTCTAGGGTTTATTGACTAACTCTACTTGAACAAATATAGCTATCAATTTAGAGAATCAATCAATAGGACTAGGAGCAAATAAAGAGAATCAGCAAAAACACAAGACACATCAATTATAGAGGTTTGGCTTTGCAGCCTACATCCACTTTCCAAGGCTCACAGTAGGGTATTCTCATTAATAACCAAAGTGTACAGAATCATGAACAAATCAGAGAAGAAAACTTTACAAAAGGGAAAGAACACACCTAATTCGAAAACCCTAGGTTTTCTCCAATATGAAACATCAATTGATGTTAAATACACATGCACCCTTCCTTGATCAGCTTCCACCTGTCTTTGATTTCTCCATAACCGTAAGATGAATAGCAATCTGGAAGCTCCTTTTGGGGTCATAAACTGTCGAGGTAAAGAGAGAGAAAAGAGAAAATTGCACATGAGAAGTGTGATAGCCAAAACACAATATGCATATGGATTTATCCAAAACGACTTCGCACTACTTGTTTAACTCCTAACACCAAAGCTGACTTCCACTGTGGCAAATAAGAAGCCACATAATCACAATTCTCCACCTTGGCTTCTTGATTTGTCACCTTATGTGGCCTTGGAAAGCATATCTTCACTCTTGAACTTGAAGAAGGCTCGTACAGAGCCTATGTTTTTCAACTGAAACCGGTGTAGTGAACATATCAGCTGGGTTGTGCGAGCCATTAACTTTTTTAGCCTTGATTTCCCCTTTTTCGATCATTTCCCTAATGAAATGAAGGCGAACATCTATGTGTTTGGTTCTTTCATGGAACACTTGGTTTTTACAGAGATGGATTGCACTCTGACTGTCACTATTGATCATCACTGTTTGTTGTTCAATACCCAACTCATTTGCAAGACCTTTCAACCAAGTAGCTTCCTTTGCTGCCTCTATCAGTGCCACATACTCTGATTTTGTTGAGGATAGAGTAACCATATGTTGTAGCTTGGATTTCCAACTAATAGTATTTCCCTATAGAGTGAATACAAAACCAAAGGTTGACTTCCTCTTATCCACATCTCCTGCATAGTCTGCATTTGCAAAACCTTCAACATAGCTATTATAACTTTGATTTTTCTTAAATACGATGCCTACTAATCTGGTTCCCTTCAAATATCTCATAATCCACTTTAGAGCCACCCAGTGAGACGTGCCTCGATTGCTTATAAACCTACTTAGACTTACTGAAAAAGCCAAGTCTAGTCTTGAACACACCATCAAGTACATCAAACTCCCCAGTACACTAGCATAAGGAACATCTGCCATCTTCAACTTTTCTTCTTCAGTTTGTGGGCTTTGCTCATATGAAAGCTTCAGGTGAGCTCCAAGAGGAGTTTGGATAGTTTTTGCATCTTGCATGTTAAACTTCTGCAGGATATTGTCAGCATAGTCTTGCTAAACTAGCTTCCAAGTTCTCTATTTCTGATAATTGATATACCAAGAATTTTCTGAGCTTGCCCTAGCTTTTTCATTTTAAACTTGGTCTTCAACAGCTTCTTAAGTCGAAGGACCTCAGTCTTATCATGGCATGCCACAAGCATATCATCCACATACAACAATAAAAAATTTGAGTCGGATTAGAGATTCTTTTAAAATAGAAATAGTTGTCAAAATTGCATCTATCAAATCCAATTTCAATCATAAAAGAGTCAAATTTCTTATACCACTGTCGTGGTGACTATTTCAAACCATATAATGACTTTTTTAACAAACAAACTTTACTTGTAGCATTGTTGTATCCTTCAGGTTGTTCCATTAAGATGATTTCTTCCAAATCCCCATGCAAGAAGGTTGTCTTCACATCAAGTTGTTCTAGTTCTGGGTTGAATTGAACTACAAGTGAGAGCAATACCCTGATGGATGTATGCTTGACCACTAGAGAAAAGATTTCATTGTAATCAACCCCCTCTACTTGTATAAATCTTTTTGCAATTAACCTAGCCTTGTACCTAGGTACTTCCTGAGATGTTAATCCTGGTTTTCTTTTGAAAATCCATTTGCATTTGACCACTCTTCAATCTTTTGGTTTATTAACCAAAATCCAGGTGTTATTCTTCATCAGAGAATCAAATTCTTCCTCAATTACTCTCTTCCATTCTAATTTTTCAGGTCTTGAAACTGCTTCTTGGAAGGTCTTAGGCTTATCATTCATCTCTTCTTCCACCTGAAGTGTATAAGCAACTAGATTTGCATAACCTAATCTATTGGGAGGTCTAATTGTTCTTGTAGTTCTATCCCTTGACAACTAATAATCTATCAAGTTTGATATATCCATTAGATTAGGTGCCATAGAGCCAATCAATTATTGTAAAACTGACTCTGTAATAAATGTTTATTTATCAATAAAAGGCATATTCTTCTATATCGTGTATGTAATGATATATGTTCTTAGGATGGTAGAACCATGACGAGGGTATCAAGTGTTTCAAATCTTGATAGTGAGAACCCTATGATCACATATGGTGGCCAATCTAGACACGTTCCTAGCTCTAGTATTATTCTGAATAAGGACACAGATAATACGGTAAGACTATCATAGTGTTGAACGACCCTGTCAAAATGCAGTGACTGATCTCACTTGTCAAGGTTGTTTGTCGACAACCTGGTGCAACGCATGAGTGCTTGCTAGAGGCAAGTTCACTAGACAGACCCACCAGAGGATTCCATATGGATGGTAACCCTAGTGTCTATGGAATAAATCCTCTAATAGATGGTGGTGCATGTGATCCTTAGACTTGAGATCATCGGAGCACCTTGTGCATCAATTGGTGTAGTTTGACACTAGCCCAACGTAGTTTTATTTAGAGCTATCAATACGGTAGTGATTGGCTACATTGAGAAGTGTATCGAGACTATGGTGGATCGACAAAGGATTCATCACTCTTGGGTACGGGAGAAGTTACCTCACCAGGTTTTTCAGTAAATGGCACTATTCAAAGCTATCAATACGGTAGTGATTGGCTACATTGAGAAGTGTATCGAGACTATGGTGGATTAACAAAGGATTCATCACTCCTGGGTACGGGAGCAGTTATCTCACTGGGTAATTCAGTAAATGGCAATTACACTAAATTTGTGGCCACAGTGGAATTGAGTTGTTGCTCAATCCAATTTATTATTTCGGTCATTGGTCCAGTAACCGAATACAAAGATATCGAGGATAACTAAGGTTGACACTATTTCTTTACCTCAGTCTCGATGAGATAACTGATGATGAAAGGATTGGATTGCACAGTAACCATATCATGGACAGGTAGTTATTTCGCTGAATCCGAATTTATCGGGTGGTCATGATGCCTTGCTAGGGGCCAATCTTGGTCTGTGAGTAGTGAGACGATTAATTGGTGTTAATCGCGATACTTCTCACTGCCGATA